AAGAATTATCATAATGTCAAGGCTTAAAACAGAGCTTAGGTGGCTGCCATCTCCTGCACGGCATCATGGCTGACCTCAGACCTCTGGTGAAGCCCAAGATCGTCAAAAAGAGAACCAAGAAGATCATCCGCCACCAGTCTGACCGATATGTCAAAATTTGGCAGAAACCCAGAGGTACTGACAACTGGGTGTGGAGAAGATTCAAGGGTCAGATCCTGATGCCCAACAATTGGGTATGGGAGCAACAAAAAAATAAAGCACATGCTGCCTAGTGGCTTTCGGAAGTTCCTAGCCCACAGTGTCAAGGAGCTGGAAGTGCTCCTGATGTGCAACGAATCTTACTGTGCTGAGATAGCGCACAATGTATCCCCCAAGAACCACAAAGCCATTGTTGAAAGAGCAGCACAGCTGTCCATCAGTCACCAACCCCAATGCCAGCAAAGAAAACGAATAGATGTTTCACACGCTCCCGTTATTTGTGTTTAAATAAAACCATAAAACCTTCAAAAACAACAACAAAAAACCCCAGAGCTTTTCAAGCACTTTATTATGCAAAGAACTTTCTTTAAAAGGTGATTAAGTTTACTAAGGGATCATCTATGATAAAGGAATTTTTTTTTTTGAAACAGGGTCTCCCTAGCTGGCCTAGAACTTGCTTTATAGAGTAGGCTGACCCCAATTCCACAGAGATCCACCTGCCTCTGCCTCTTGAATGCTGAGATAAAAGGTGTGCACCACCATGCCCAGCTCTTTTATGATAAAGGAATTCTTAAAAACCAGATAGAGGCGTTTTGTACTTTTACAGAACTAGATTTTCAGGCACAAACACTTCCAGGGATTTATTTTTTTATAAGCAGTTGAGGGCAGAAAGTAGAAAAGGCAAATCAAAAGTTATTATAAAGGCAGGCTTTCCTGAAATAGAAAATAAAATTAATTAACTATTATTAATTAAAATTCCATTTAGAAATCATTTCTCCAAATAAACCTTGATAAGTGAAACAGAGTTTCACTAGGTAGTACAGTTAGAAACAGTTTCTTTGGGATTTAGAATCTTTTATCTATTCAACTACAGATTAATACATCTTATTGTAAAATGAGTTGAGCAATCAAAGCTATTCATAGATAAGCATGATTAAATTACGGATGAATAATGTGTTAACTGAATAAAGTCCAGTTATTGAAAGCAAACGCTCAAACTGCTCAATATCCACTATTATGAAGAATGAAGCTTTATACTTTTCTCCACACTTAAGATTTTAATTCTGCCATCATTCAGTATAGAAGTAATGATCTATATAAATGTAAAATGTCTTAAAGAATGATCGTGCTACTAGTAGGAATGCTGCATTTAATTCAATGTTTAAAAAAATGGAAAGTTTTGATCTTTGGAAGCTTTGCATTCCTCTCCTCCAAAGTACTAAATTTATTTTGTGAAACTATGCTTTCCAGCCTTCCACTTGGATTTTTTGTGGAATAAAAATTTTGTTTAATTTAGAAAGATCGGAAATAGAATTAAAAATTAAGGGGGGGATAAAGAATATTGATACAAAGCTATAGCAATAGTTTCTTCACAATTTCATAAAACATTAATGAAAGGTTACATAATCCCCTGGATTAAAGATTTTAAAGAGAGCTGCAAGGATCATCTCTTTCGGTTTTCAATACTACTTTCTCTGTTTTTATAGCCATAAAAGCAGACCTAAATCAATTCCATCTAGTTTTCAAATAAGCCATCTAGTTTTCACATTTGTGCTGTTGTTTCAGAAGGGGCTTGCTATGTAGCCCAGGCTAGCCTCCAACTAACATCAATCTTCCTGCTTATCCTCCTGAGTACCTGAATTACATCTGTGCACCACTACACATGGAAGCCATCTAGTTTCAAGAGGTAAAACTAATCTAAAAGTAGCACAAAACATTTATACAGTCTTATAATTTTAAGTATTATAAATTATATCTAGGTTCCTCAAACAAGTTAAACGTACAAGATACACCAAATCCAGTTCACGCTCAGGAAGAAAAACATTAAGCTCCTGCTTAATGAAACAATGATCTCTAGAATTAAGCCCTTTCTCTTTCCTCTTCTCCCTCTCTTCTTTCTCCTCTTCTCACCTCCACTCATCTGTTTTTGTTTTCTGAGAATGGGTTTCACTCTCTAGCCCAAGCTAGCTTCAATCTCTGGTCAGTCCATCTGTCTCAGCTACCCAAATGCTGAGATTACAGATGTGCTCTACCGTGCCCAGCTTAAAATAGTGTTATTCTCTAAAAATGAACTATCTGTTCAATTTTCTGTCTTGAAATGTTTCTTATTTTGTATTTGTTTATTTTCCATACAAGATAGATTCTTAAACCAGTTCAATTTAGACTGAAGTTGTTTAATGTATGTCTACATATGCTACACTTGAGTCTTTTACTAACAATGCTTTTACAGTACAGTCGTTGAAAAAGAAAGAAAAAAAGGTGAACAAGAGGGCACAAATGAAACAAAAGAGGACCACATTTGAGAACCACCACTCTGTTTCTCTGCCTCAAATTCCTCATGTCAAAGATTCTCAATATCCAAAAAAGTTTCACAGTCAGGGACACAACACAGTATGTGATAAAACCAATACAAGAAGATGCAAATCCCAAGTAGACAAAATTGAATGGACTATATCACCTGCCATGAAAAGCAGATCAATAAACCCCTAAATATTGTGGGGTTGCTTCTGCATGACACAAATGATTTTTCTGGCTTTCCTGACTAGAGAAATACATCTTACATTGTCTTGTACCAACACGAAGTTTCCCAAAACAATACTTTTCCTCATCACATGCAATGCTGGCATACTATGTGCTACTTGGTTTTATTTTCAATGTTGATGGTACTATAATAATTTTATAAATCACTAAGCAATCATAATCTACAGTTTAAAAAACACAAAATTAAAAAAATTATATCCTTGGGTTGGGGATGTAGCACTCAGTGGTAGAGTCCATACCTAGGGTAAGTGAGACCCTAAGTACTATCCCCACCACTGAAGGTGGGGAAAGTCTCCTTTATATATAAAAAAAAAAAAAGTTTTCTTTTCTCTAGCAATTTGCTTCAATTTGTTTCTTCAGCGAGATGGACAAGCTTCTTTTGTTTTGTTTTTTGAGACAGGGTCTCTCTGTAGCACCAGCTGGCCTGGAACTGACTATGTAGACCAGGCTGACCTTGAACTCACATAGATCCACCAGATGGGCAGGTATTTAGGCATTTTAAAGTTGTTAATTACTACTATCTTCATTAAAGCAAGTGGCTCTTAAGGTATGATTCCTTGAAGAACATAAGCTTGAGATAAATACAAATTCTTGGACCCCACCCTAGACCTACTGAATCAGAAACTCCAGGTGTGGCCAACCAAATTGGAAGTGATTTTCAATCACTGCATTTAAAAGCCTGGGTCTTTATGCATCAATTCAGTAGTAAGTTCCTGTCAGTAACTATTTCAAAAACTCCACAAATACATAAAACAATTGTGGTGGGGTTTTTTTGTTTTTGTTTTTTATGAACACCTGTAATCCTGGCACTCAGGAGGCAGAGGCAGGTAGATCCCTGTGAGTTCAAGGCCAGTCTGGTCTACATAACAAGTTCAGGCTAGTCAGGGTTACAAAGTGAGACCATGTTTCAAAAAACAAACTCTTTTTAAATTCCATTAAGCAAAAACTGTTAGTATTTTAGTATCCCTATCATAGAAGTGAAAAAAACCACACATGTTGACTTGACTAAGGTAAGTGGTCATACTAGAATTCAAGCTTATTTTCAATTTAGCAGGATATCCCTATCCTCATCATGAATATCTTCTTTCTGACCAGGTCACAGTTTTACTCCTCCAGTTCAGCTACTCCTCCCCCTTTCCCTCTCAAATTCCCCATCCTGTTGCTGTTCTTATTTTCTAGTATTTTCGCTGCCATCTGAAAACTAATTTCTTAAGCAATGGACACTTAACTTGGCTTTTAGGATGTTTTCTCTGGTCCTAGATGGCATATTAGTAACAAAGTTTCTTCTCTTTTTTTGAAGACCTTAGTTCTGACAGCATCGTTATTTCTACCTACCACCAGGGCCAGCTTCCACAAGACCACTCACCCTCTCCCAGGGTAACTTTCCCCAGAATCAACTACTCCCTTCCCATTGGCAAAGGACTCTTCCCCACCCACCTCCATCCCATTTTGCTTGGAGGAACTTCCACTTTCCCGCTGAACCCCAGACCCTGGTCCAAATCCCAATACAATTACTTCTTTCCTGGGACCTTCAGTCCGGCCGCGGAAGGGTCCCCAAGTCCCAGACCCGCCGTGGGGGGCAGGGTGCTGCGGCCCCTCCACGGAGCCTTCAAGGTCTCCGACCCACGACCCTCGAGGACCAGTCGCCTTCACCTCCACAGCCGCACTTCCTGCTGCAGCTGCCTTCCTCCCTCAGGGTAGGACCCCGCTCCCCGACTCTGAGCCAGGCGGCTCCCTGTCACCCGGACCTCGCCGACGGAGGTGTCCCCACCTCCCTCCTCTCTCCCACAGGGGCCACTCCCAGTTCCCTCAGCCCCCGCTGCTCCCCTGCGCTCCGTGCTGCGCCGGCTTCGCTTCTCCTTTGCATCCCACTGTCCCCGGGAAGCTCACATCTCCGCGGGCCTAGAGCCGCTCGCCCCGGCTTGCCCCCGCTCGGGGACCCCGGCACTCGTCTCCTCAGGGAGCCGCGCACACCGGCCTCCCGTCACTGCCCCCGGGCCGAGCCGCCCGACGGCCCAGGGGACCTCCAGGCCAGCCCCGCCGCGCTCCGGCGCCAACCTACCTTCCCCGCGCGAACTCCGCCGGCAGGAACCCGGCCATTCTCCCTCTAGCCCAGTCAGCGCCAAGTCGCCGCGCCCGGCCCCAGCCCGGACCCAGACCCCGACTCGGGCCGGCCCCCCTCCTATGACCTCCGCCTCCAGAGCGCCGATTTCCGGCCCCCAGCCGCCTCCGCACCTTAGGCCCGCTTTGCCCCCACTCACCTGCCGGCGGCCCCGCACAACTCCGGAGCCTCACTCTACCTCGGCCGCCAGTAGCCACCAAGCGCCGCCACCTCCCCCATGACAACAGGCCCACCCTCTACCACACTCTCAATTTACCCATTGGGCAGTGGGGCGGTGGCTCTCTGCTCTTATTGGTTAAGATACCCGTCCGTCATCTTGTCTTCCCCGCCCCTTTTCCTGGATCGGGTCTTCGCCCCC